TGGTCAAAATCAGATATCTTTTTGAAAATTACTGAGAAATGCTAGACAGGTACACATAACATGAAAGTCATCTGGTAAAAAGTCAAAGAAAGTCAGTGTATGATATAAAAAGGAAGATGGAGGAATACAGACGATGATAAGTTCATGAAAAAGAGACTATTATGCCAGACTGAATGTCTTAGGAAATGGGAGTCTTGTAACTGGTCTTGTATATGAACTTATGGGGTACAAATAGTCAATTCAATTATTGTTTAATTATACAATACATGCTTTATCATCAAAGCCTCCTCATTGTCATCTTTTTTTCTCTTGATTTTAGCCATTTCATTGCATTTAGTCACATTCACTTAGAACTCCACCTAAGAATGTATATCTAGATTTTAATTCCCATTTTATCTCATTTCCTTCCTACAAACAAAAAGTTTAAAAACTAAAGGCCATGTAAACACTTCATATGAAGAAGAGTGTATGCCCATAAAATATATAATAATTGATGTATATTTTCTGCAAGAACAAAACAAAATAGCCAGTGTCATTGTCATCACTATAAACAGACAACGATAGCTATGTAAGTAAATTGGTATACATCTTTAGGCAATGATTTTGGCAATATTTATTAAGTATTTTTAACCTCTTTCTTTGTTTTCCTTGATTCTACTTTTGGGAATCTCTTCTAAGCACATAAGATATGTCCATAGGTGTATACATCTTCCCATATTTCTTCCTACAGTGCGTGAAGAAAAATCCTTTCCACGCAGAGAGGCCGCATGGCCTAGTGGGTAAGGGTATGGTCTCTGGAGAGCTTCAGTTCAAATCTCGACCCCACCTCTGACTAAATGCATGATGTTGAGAAAGTTACTTAAATTCTATACTCAGCTTCCTCTTTAATGACAGGGAGATAATCTTAGTGCCTCATAGGTCCTCATGAGGATTGAATGAGGTAATAAGCATAAATCACTTCTGCTGGTGAATTTAATAAATGTTTGCTGTTATAATTATCATGTTTTTAATGGGGCTAATTATAATCGCAAAAAATGAGAAGAGCCAGTGCTCCACAATACAAGATTGGTTGCGTGAACTCTGTTGTATCCACTCCTGGGCAAAGTCATTCAGTTTTATCACAGTCTACACAGTGCCCAGCATAGGAACTAATTCTTACAAGTGTTCAATGCAGTCTGGATTTCATTGTGAAATACACAAGATACACATTGGATCACGTTTTAATATCACAGAAACTGGGATGTCTCTTATGGCCAACAGTGTGTGTCAAAATTTAATGAGTGGGATGTGATGTGCATTACATTTGATGCAGTCTGTGGTAGGCAGAATGATGGCCTCCCATAGATGTTCTTGCCCTAAGGGTCAAAACCAGTCAATAGCACCTTATATGGCAAAAAAGACTTTGTAGATATAATTTAATTAAGCACCTTGGGACGGGGAGAGTATCTCAGATTATCCACGCGGGCCCAAGGTAATCACAAGGTGCCTTACAAGAAGGAGGCAGTGGGGTCAGGGTGAGTAGTAGAAGCGATGACAGCAGCAGAGGTTGGAATGATGCAAAGGGGCCAGGAGCCAAGGAGCACGTGTAGCCTCTAGCGCTAAAAATGGCAGCTAAAGCCAGAAGCCTCCACAAGGCAGCAGCCTGCCAACACCAGTCCTGATGAAACCTTGACTTTGGCCCAGTGAACTAATTCTGGACTTCTGACCTCCAGAGCTGTAAGGTAATAAGTATGTGCTGTTTTAAGCTACCAGGTTTGTGGTAACTTGTTACAGCAGCAATAAAAAACCAATACACAGTCTTAAATCAGTTGAAATAAGTTTCTTTGTCACTTCTAGGTATGTCAGGCTCTCGGTGCTTTCTGAATTATCGTTTAGCCTAAGAAGTAATAGATATAAAGCTACTGAGTAAATGCTGAATGGAATAGTATATAGCCTTTAAAATGATGTTTACAAAGAGTTCATAATAAAATAAAAAACTGTTATTTGAAAAATAAAGAAAATTAATTTGCATTTCAGTGAAATCATAATTCTATTAAATGGGAAAATATCAAATTACGCAGATAAGAATTCCAGAAGAAAATAAATTAAAATAGTAAGAGTGATTATTTCTGCATGTTAGGACTATCAACAACTTCACTTTTTTTTCCTGTTACATTTCTACATATTTTCTATAATGAGTAAATACTGCTTTCAAAATGCCAAAAAAAAAATCATCACATCAGTTTTAGTTAAAAATTAGACAGCAATATAATATGGAACATAAAAGGCAATTTATGCTATATCGGTAAACTTTCTCTCTTTATGCACTAGTGGCTCTACTTGAATTGGTAATTCAAAATCTTTAAAATCACAGGTCTGAAGTGTCACTAACCGCAGTCGTTGTGGACCTGTGTTTTGTCTTGGGTCAGCTTTCCTAGTAGGAAAGTTAAAATATCACCCTCAAAAATCATCCGCCGACCAGCCATTGTGAGCCACATGGGGACAGCAGGGTGTCAGAGAGGTAGGGATTTAAGTAGAAACTGGTAGGTAATTGACTCACTTGGAAGGAAAAAGGAAAAGAGCAGAAAAGCTGGGAACCTGCAGAATGATTCTGCTTCACCTGAGTGTGGAAAGACATGGGAGTTCTTCCTAGAACTGAGGCTCTTTGACCTTGGAGAGTCATTCCACCACTCGGAACCTCTGTCTCTTCCTTTGTGTTATGAGGGGAGAGGGCAAAATTACTTCCAAGAGTCCTTCAGGCTCTAGACACTATATAAATACAAGTATGTGTAAATACACACACACACACACACACAGACACACACACACACACACACATAGGCTCTGGTTATAAAACAATAAGACTGATTCAAAAAGGCAAATGACAAAAAAAAATACTTTCACTATTCTACAGTCTCACTTTGTATTCATATCGGGATTGCTGTGAATTGTGATTGGTGTAAAGTGGGTCTTTTGCACTACGTAAATTTGCAGTAATACCATTGCCATCAGATATTTCACAGTATCTTCTTTTTCACGATGTTAGAAAATACAATGTATTAAAAGGTTTAAACATGTGAGGGGTTACAGCAGCAGACTGTTGTCTGGTTAGTCACTGAAGCTTTATAGCCCGTCACTTGTCGGCTCTCTGAGGCGTGCATTCACAACCACGTGTAAGCTTTCTATTCTCTTCCGTGAAAATCAGCGTGTTAACAAAAATTAGTAACAGCTTTCCAACTAAATGCAATGCCTGATAATTTCTCCATTCTTATGATTTTAAACAAGGACGATCTTTCTGGAATATGTCATATGTGAAATTTTTGTCCTAGTATATTTATTGTCTTAGTAGATTTATTGTCCTAGTATATTTATTGTCTTTTTTATTTTCCCCAGAAAATATTAATGGAATACCTCTTGTTTGGAAGAAACTTAAGCTACTTATTTCAAATCGTAAGGAACTTAAAAGTCTGCAGGGTGGAAAAAATCATGCATCTATTTAACTCTGATGCAGAACAGAAAGATAAATGACAGAGAAAGATATGACTGTGTTACAGTGAACGGAATCTCAGCAGATAAAGATTACGTCCAGCTGTCCAGACAGAAAAGTGGTCCAGGGAAGCTTACGGGTTACATGTCATCAAAGGCTGTCTGCATCCTGAACTCAAGAATTGAGGTGGAAGTGGAGGACATTCTTGGTGGAAGAAACAGAATGAGCAATGTCTCGGTGGCGTGGAGAATGTGGGGTGCACATAGAGAAGGGCAAAGAGTGAAATTTGATGGCAGTGCCAAGTACAGGTTGGGGAGCCATGGGATGAAGACCGAAAAGACAGACAAGGTCTAGCTTGCCAAGGCCTTGAATGCCGACCTAAAGAAACTGCACTTTATGCCACAGACAGGAGAGAGCCACCCAGAGCTTTTGAACAATTATTTAATTGATTTGCATGCACCTCTCCTTCTTACAGAAGACAGAGGCAATTTCGACTTGTACTTTAAAAGGCATTATAATTTGTCATTCAACAAGTGAACGAGACTCTAAGTAACCTTCTGTTTATCAACCAATGAACTAGAAAAGATTTAAACTTGACATGTTTGAAACTCTGAGGAGGAACCTTCCTTTACTGCTCTAGTAGGAGGTGAAAGAGCAGTGGCCCCGTTAAGACGCTGGAATGAAAGCTGCGAAGAGAAGGGGGCCGGGAAGCCCAATTGTCTGGGGGACGGAAGGTGACTCGGTCACACCGACTTCGTCCTGTGGCCTCCAGGCTTCCCAGTTTCAGGCCCTCTGGTCGTCAGGGTTTGGCTCTGGCCCTTTACACACAGTCCCTTGTCCTTCACCTGACAGCTCCTGGGCACTCACTCTAAATCTACATTCTGTCCATGAAAACAACACTGATACAGCACGGTGCTTTCTCTGTGTTTGTATGAGTGCGTGTATATGCACATTTATATATAAATAAATGCCTACGTATACACGCGTCACACCAAATGTCGACGGCACATCTCGTAATCTTATCGTTATACCCGCTATTTTACAGTGAAAGCTATTTTTTCCCTAGTTTGCGAGCATTTCGAGAGCAGGCTCACCACACCACACCATGCATCCAGCCAGGACTCAATTAGTATTTATTGATTAATTGATTTAAGCAAAGTCCTTCAGCCTCCAGCATATGCTGCCTTTCCTTCTAGAATCAGAAGAACAGCTGGTTAACATACTTGGTATAATAGGACAAAAAAAGTATGGTTTCTATTTTCCTTTAGATCTGGAAAAGGCAAGAGAGGTTATTTCTTTAAAAGGTCCTGAGATGAGGTAACTGAACTCATCATATGAAAGCAGTCTCTCAGTACATGTGCATGTGCGTGTGTGTATGTGTGTGTGTGTGCGCGTGCACATGAGTGTGTCGCAAATCAGTCAACTCACAACTGCAAAATGGAGAAATATTCTAAATATTAAATACAGGTAGGGTTGGCAAATGGAGAGTGTTTGTCAGCTAGCATGGTCTTTACGTGTGACACTTCATACTTACCTCAATAAAGAAGATGCTGGCCGCTGACGTTGGATGGTGATACATATAGACTGTCACGAGAATGGCTGCAGCTATAATGAGGACCAGGATGAGAATCCCAACAATGAGGCCAGCATGCAGGGTTCCCCCTTTCTTCTCGGCTGCACTGTCATCTGTAGAAGCTGAAAGGTCAACACAGCTGTCAGGAAATTCATGTGTGCACTCTTTTAAGTTTGCATTTTCATTTAGAAGGGACATTTATATCTTTAATAAAGTACTGTGGGATCTTTTTTACTTCTTGTGCAACTTTTCTTTTCCATAACGCACAATGTCGAAGTTAAATGCTCTTTATTTGGGCAATAAAAAACTCCGTACTATGAATGATTAGAAATATATTCATAACTGTGCTTTAATTTATAGTTCAATAAACAAGATTAATAGCCTTTATTCTAAAAGTACTGCAGAAAATATAAAAATTAACTACATAATACATTTAATTTTGATTTTTCTCATTAAAACCACTGGTACTTTTACCTATGGAAAAATTAATTACTTTTTGAAAGCTCCTTTTTCATTTTCTTTTGGAAAATTTAAATTGAAGAGTATTAGACATCTTTTGGTGGGCTACACAGGCATTTTCAGAAAGTCTGTGCATTAGTTCAAACGATAATTTTCAAAATCTGTTTTAAACTGAAATGCTCTTTAAAAATATTACAGATAGATGCTAAATGACCCTCATGTAGTTTTATCATTATCTAAAGGGAACACACAGCATATACAAATATTCCACAATGACAGAGACCGATATGCCATTTTCTCTAACTTACTGAGATGCTTTCTCCACTGTAATGCCTATTTTCAAAGAAAATATTTCTGAATTTCTCAAGTAGTAACTAACCAACTTAAAGCCAATCGACCAAATAAAACTAATCTCTAAAGTCTTTTCTTGTTCTACAATTCTGTAATCTTCAATGACTACCCAGGCATTTAGAGATCTTAAATTATGTGCAGCAGGTAACTGTATCTTAGTGCAAAATGTGATTGGTTTTTTTGAATCATTAGAAAATTCATTAAGACTAATAAAAGTTCTAGAACAGCGACTCCTAATCCTTTCATTGCCAATTTATGTCTATTTTCACCCTTTGCCTCTATGTTTCAAACATTTTTTGGTCTATTAAACCTCATTTAATAAGCACTGATTTACTTATTTTAAATTGTTTTAATAAAAAACAAACAGGACCGCCTATCAGAGTGTGTGCTTAATATTAACAGAATTCCAGACAAAGCAAAGGAACATGACCTTCCGATGCTTCCCACTCACCCTTTAAATGCTGTTGCTATTGTCTGTTTACTCTGCTTGAGACCCGTAGGTGGGTGTTTATGCATCTTCCTCCAAATCTAATAAAGCTCAAAAATCCTAAAGCTTTCCCTTACCTAACAGATATTCATTAGTGAAAGAATATAAAATTTAAAGAGTAATTCATTACACAGAGATTCATTGATAAAGATGATTCTGGGAAGATGGCTGAGAAGTATCAGGAATCTGTCTCCCCACCCAGACAACAGTTGTACTGGCAGACTCCACTTAACGTAACTATTTTGGAACTCTAGACTCTACTGAACTTGCAACTTTCAGGGGAAGGCTGGGACTGGAGATCGTGGTTAATTTAAGTTCTTTGCACACTAGTAGCTTCACCCCTCAGCCATGTGAAAGGAGGCTGTGCACGTATTCTGATCACAGATTGGTGTTTCTGATCACAGAGGTGCAGAGACGCAGTCAGCCATCATTGTTGTACCTCTCCCCACTGTTGCAAGTCCCTCCCCCTCCTTTGGGAAATGACTTCCAAGGGATTTAAAGGGCCAGCACCCTCCTTATCCCTTCCCCCTTCGCTTTTTTCTTTATCCCCTTTCTGGGAACCAGATATTGACTAACAACTAGGACATTCAAAACCAAATGCATATATCGGGGAAACTCGTGACGGTGGATGCTCAGGGAAAGGCTCGGAATTGACTTGAGAAGGCCTTAAATTTAAGCTGAACATCAACACAGAGACATAGCACAACAATTAAAAAAAAAAACAACCCAACAAAAGCAATAAACAAACTCAGCAAACTCTGGGGTAGGTGGAGAATCTACCTATCCTAGAATTAGCGCATTAGATTCAAATGTCCAGTTTTGAGCAAAAATTTACAGAAAAGTATGGCCCATTCAAAGGAGAAAAAAAGCCAACAGAAACTATTCCTGAAAAAGACTTGATAGCAGATATACTAGACAAAGAATTTAGAAATGTGTCTTGAAGATGCTTAAAGAACTAAAAGGAGATATGGAGAATGCAAAGCCAAGAAAATGTGTGAACAAAATGGAGATATAAATAAAGAGATAGAAAACCTAAAAAGACACCAAAATGGAATTCTAGAGCAGAAAAGTACAATAATGAAATGAATAATGAAATTAAAAAATTTACTAGAGGGATTGAAAGGTAAATTTGAGCAGTCAGAAGAAAGAATGAGCAAACTTGGAGATAGAAAAACTGAAATTACCAAGTCTGAAGAACAGACGGAAAAAAGAAGAAAAATGAACAGAGTCTAAGGGACTTGTGGGACACCATTAAGTGTACCGGCATATGCATTAGCAGAGTCTCAGAAGAAAAAGAGAGACTATTTGAAGAAATAATGGTTAAAAACTTCCAAAATTTGATGAAATACATGAATATAAATACTTCAACATCTCAAGGAATTTCAAATAGGATGAAATCAAGGAGGTCTGCACCCAAACACATTATAATCAAACAACAAGGAGATACTCTCAAATGTAGTAAGTGTGTAATGACGCATCAAATATAGAGAATCCCAAATAAAATTATTAGCGGGTTTCTCGACAGAAACTTCGGAGGACAGAAGGCAGTGGGTTGATGTATACGAAATGCTAAAAACAAAACAAAACAAAAACAAAAGACCAACCTGTCAACCAAGAATTCAATATCTGGCAAACTGTCCTTTAAAAGCGAGGGAGAAATTAAGATATTCCTAGATAAGCAAAAGCTGAGTGAGTTGATTACCACTTGGTGCACCGTACAGGAAATACTCAAGAGAGCCTTGTAGGTGATGTGAAAGGACACTAGACATAACTGAAAGCCATATGAAGAAATAAAAGTCTCAATAAAGGTGAATCCATAGGAAAGTTATAAAAGCGAACATTATTATACTACGGTTTGTAATTCCTCTTTTTGTTTTAATATTATGTAAGACTAATACATTTTATAAAAAGAACAATTATTAGTCTAAAGTCTAGTGCTATTGTCACTTTAGTTTTTATAACCCCCAATTTTTGTTTTCTATACAATTTGAGAAATGAGGGCATTTAAAAGAATTATTAATTTATGTTTTTAAACATAGAATGCATGAAGATGTGATTCTGTGACATTAACAACTAAAAGGGGTGTAGATGTAAAGGAGCATATTTTTAATATTATTGAGGATAAGCTGGTATAAATTTGCATTAGAGGGTTATAACTTTAGGATGTTAAATGTAATCACCATGATAACCACACAGAAAATCTCTACAGAAGATAAACAAAAGGAAATGAGAAAGTAATTGAAACATTCCACAATAAAAAAACCAAATAAATACTAAAGAAGACAGTACTATAGGAAATGAGGGACCAAAAAGCCAAAAGGCAAATAGCAAAATGACAGAAGTAAATCCTTACTAATCATGGAGATTTGCTTTAAATGTAATGGGATTAAACTCTCCAGTCAAAAGACATGGGTTGGTGAATGGATGAAAACACATAATTGAATTATATGCTGTCTCTAAGACATTCACTTCAGATCCAAAGGCACGAATAGATTGAAAGTAGAGTATAAAAAATGATAGTCCATGTAAATACTAACTAAAAGGGAGCACCTAATAACGAATGATCAAAATATATGAAGCAAAAACTGACAAAACTGAAAGGAGAAACAGACAGTTGTATAACAATATCCCATTCTCAAAATTGGTAGAATAACCAAACAGAAGAAAGAGAAACAGAGGACTTAATACAATAAGCCAAATATATGGAATACTTTACTCACAAAAACAGCATACACATTCTTTTCAAGTGCACAAGGGACATTTCTAGGTTAGACCATACATTAGACCATACATAAAGCTGTAGATTTAAAAAGGTAAATATCATTAAAAGTATCTTTTCCAACCACAATGAGATGGAGTTAGAAATCAATAACAGAAGTAAAACTGGAAATTTGCAAATTCATGGAAATTAAACAACACACTTAAACAACCAATGGATCAAAGAAGAAATCACAAGGGAAATAAGAAATTACTTAATGAAATGCAGAATTATACTGCCAGATTCATGACACCATATAAACTATTTTTTTCCCTTAACGTTTGTTACTTTTTATAGTTTGATTTCATTCTTAAGTATGCTTGTAATATTGTGTTTTGTGCATTTGGCTTCTTTCTTATTTTTAAGAGTGTGACACATCACTTTCATGGGAAAATGGGATTAATTTATATGTTGCTTCAGAGAAAATGTGGCAAAAATATTTACTTGAGTAGAGAAGCCTTGAATATTTCTTCAAATGCTATGTGAAATTCTATCCCACCCACACACCCATCCATCTATTCATCCATCTATTCATCCATCCATGCATCCATTCATGCATCCATCCATGCATGAATCCATCCAACCATCCAACCAACCAACCATCCATCCATCCAACCATCTAACCATCCATCCATCCATCCATCCATCCATCCATCCATCCATCCATCCATCCATCCATCCTTCTATCCTTCTATCCACCCACCCACCCATTCATCCATCTTTCCATCCTTTCATCCAAACAGCATCCAGTTCTATTTCTGGGAAGAGTTGTCTTTTATAAGTAGCATGCCAAGGTTCAGCTTCACTTCTTTTGTGCATGCTGAAGAGGGAAGGGAAGGACAAGGCACTTGTGAACTGGCCTTGGGCTGCCGCTTCCCAAGTGGGCGAGGGAATCAGAACCTGTGACGGAGGCAGCAGGCAAGAGACAGCCCTTCCTGGGAAGGAAGAGGAGAGCAAGGGACTTGTTTTATTCAATAAAAGCCCTTGTCAGTAAAATTATCTTTGACTTGTAGGACACAGGTTGCCAATCCCTTTTTTTTTTTTTAACTTTAT